CTTAGCTGACCACCTTTCTNCTGAACTTCGGAGGAAGGAAAAAATGCAACAGCCTAGCAGTAAATGGGGACTCGATTTGTTGCACCAATGCATCCATTGTCATTGGGGTCTTATCCCTTACTGCTTCCTTTATGTGTCTGAGCTCTTTCTAGATGTTATGGAAGCGATGTTCCCAATATTGCTCTCTTCTTTCTTACTGGAATGGGAGAGAATCATTATTCTGGATCCAATCGTTCTGATTGTGTCCCTTTTCATTCTCACCATTCCTAGGAGGTAGAGAGGGGCGTGGCTATTCTCTCCCCCTTCGTTGACTTCTTTAAGGGGGTCGAGATGCCGATACTCTCCATGCAAAAGACCCCCTTGCGCTGGTCTGGTTTGGTCTGGTCTGTTGAGGACCTTGCAAGAGCTTTAAGAGTACTTCGTTTTGTCGAAGCAGGTGCTGGTTTACTAGAAGAAGGGCCTCCAATTCATTATTCGTTGGGGGATCGATCTCAGGGGGGATTGATTTTAGCGGCGGGGATGAGATTATGAGGGATTTTGTGTTGTTCCCCGTCAGTGGCTTCTTGTTGGTTTTGGATCTGTGGGGGATTCATTTGATATCTACTCATGTTGCATTTTGAGACTATCAATCACTGAAGAATCAAAGTACTTGTAATAGGAACAATTGTTCCCACAGATGACGTCAAACTGATGGTATAACCAAATAGATGAACAAAAAGTGTTATTCAGAGATATTCTTGGGAAGTTAAAATGATTAACAAAGTGAAAGTATAATGGTTCACCAAGCTCGGGTGCTCGATTAATCCACTCTTAAAGGGAGTCTCTTGCTCCTTGGATCTATCTATTATTTTTGGCTATAAGTTACAGTGTATTTCTTCTACAATTGGACTCTGCCCCTCGATGGAGGTCATTTTTCAGTATTTATAGTTCAACTCCTATATCTAAAGGATCTGTAGCGAGATTCCTGCCCTTCATATGCGAAAATTCCCTTGATTTGAGGGAGAAGATCTTGAGTGGTTGAGAGATTCGTGTCTTAATCTCTGCCTTATGTTATATTGGAGATTCCCCCCTNTTGAACTTCGGAGGAAGGAAAAAATGCAACAGCCTAGCAGTGAATGGGGACTCGATTTATTGCACCAATGCATCCATTGTCATTGGGGTCTTATCCCTTACTGCTTCCTTTATGTGTCTGAGCTCTTTCTGGATGTTATGGAAGCGATGTTCCCAATATTGCTCTCTTCTTTCTTACTGGAATGGGAGAAAATCATTATTCTGGATCCAATCGTTCTGATTGTGTCCCTTTTCATTCTCACCATTCCTAGGAGGTAGAGAGGGGCGTGGCTATTCTCTCCCCCTTCGTTGACTTCTTTAAGGGGGTCGAGATGCCGATACTCTCCATGCAAAAGACCCCCTTGCGCTGGTCTGGTTTGGTCTGGTCTGTTGAGGACCTTGCAAGAGCTTTAAGAGTACTTCGTTTTGTCGAAGCAGGTGCTGGTTTACTAGAAGAAGGGCCTCCAATTCATTATTCGTTGGGGGATCGATCTCAGGGGGGATTGATTTTAGCGGCGGGGATGAGATTATGAGGGATTTTGTGTTGTTCCCCGTCAGTGGCTTCTTGTTGGTTTTGGATCTGTGGGGGATTCATTTGATATCTACTCATGTTGCATTTTGAGACTATCAATCACTGAAGAATCAAAGTACTTGTAATAGGAACAATTGTTCCCACAGATGACGTCAAACTGATGGTATAACCAAATAGATGAACAAAAAGTGTTATTCAGAGATATTCTTGGGAAGTTAAAATGATTAACAAAGTGAAAGTATAATGGTTCACCAAGCTCGGGTGCTCGATTAATCCACTCTTAAAGGGAGTCTCTTGCTCCTTGGATCTATCTATTATTTTTGGCTATAAGTTACAGTGTATTTCTTCTACAATTGGACTCTGCCCCTCGATGGAGGTCATTTTTCAGTATTTATAGTTCAACTCCTATATCTAAAGGATCTGTAGCGAGATTCCTGCCCTTCATATGCGAAAATTCCCTTGATTTGAGGGAGAAGATCTTGAGTGGTTGAGAGATTCGTGTCTTAATCTCTGCCTTATGTTATATTGGAGATTCCCCCTTATTAACCAACTTTTCCTTTCTAATTTCCTCGAGTCTTTCACCCAAACGGAGCTTGAGGTTTGGGCCTCTAATCTCTGGGTACCTTAGCTGACCACCTTTCTTGATTCTTGGCAAAATAGCTCGTGATGTGTTAGTTATTCCCATTTATACGGTAGCATCAGAATTGACTTTTAGCATTGGAGGTCGTATTTTAGATCCTTTTTGGAGTTGTCTGGCACCCAAAACAGTTGAGGGTCTCATATGTGCACAAAATTGGCTTCAATTGTCATCCATTGCTAATGAATTTCAAGATATTTTGGAGGATTCAGAAAGTTATAAACTAGATTCAGGTTTCTATACTTTTATTGTAACTTTTTTATTATTTGTTGATGAGTTCTTCGTATCTAATTTTTTTTCATACTTTTTTTATCTTAGAAATAACTGCAAAGACAATTGCAATTACTCTTGAGTGAAGAGAGGTGAATGACACTAACCAAAAATGTGTTATTTAACTTTTTTATATATTTTTTTAGTAATTATAGGAGTATTTGTGTGGTATAATTTATATTATATCATTGTTATTGTTGTGGATGTTTGAGTTGCTAAAACATGAATTTATTTTTTGTATAGGTTACATGATTTGTGGTGAGCTGTCACAGGCGGAGCAATTATGATTTTAATGTATTTCATATGGTTTAAACTTAAATTAATTTTTATTGTATTTGTGTAACAATTATGGTGGATTGATGTTCATATTTTCTTGTGTTTTATTATAATTGTTGTAGTTGTTTTAGATTTTAGTATTATTAATTTATTATATTGTTAAATTGGTGCATGTTATTTAATTAAATTATTAAAATAATATAAAAATTAATAGTTACAAAAGTGTTTACCTGACTTCCTATCTGATTAATCGGGTAGAAATATCACACTTGTTGGGTAGGATAGGCCAAGAAAAATTTATTCTGCAAAGTATCAAATAGGAAGACGGAAGAGTATATTTCCTACCCCTAAGGTAGGGTGAACACCCCTACACTCTATGGGCTTAAGCAAGCCCCACGTGCTTGGTACTGCCGCGTAGAAGCCTATTTCATGAAGCATGAGTTTGACATGACAGATCTTGGTAAGATGAGGTATTTCCTTGGTCTTGAAGTTTTGCAAAGATTTGCTGGCATTTTTACCAGTCAAAAAAAAGTATGAATTGGAGGTACTGCAACGTTTTGGAATGGACAAAAGTAATTCTGTTCATAATCCTATTGTCCTTGTCTTTAAGCTCGTGACGGATGAAGGTGGAGTTAAGGTGGACGAGCCTTACTATAAACAGGTTGTGGGTAGTCTCATGTATCTCACAGCTACTCGATCAAACATGATGTTTGTGGTGAGTCTTATTAGTAGGTATATGGAGAATTCTATTGAGCTTCATTTACAAGCAGCAAAAAGTGTACTAAGATATTTGAAGGGAACAACCGAGTTTGAAAATTTNAAGCCTTACTATAAACAGGTTGTGGGTAGTCTCATGTATCTCACAGCTACTCGATCAAACATGATGTCTGTGGTGAGTCTTATTAGTAGGTATATGGAGAATTCTACTGAGCTTCATTTACAAGCAGCAAAAAGTGTACTAAGATATTTGAAGGGAACAACCGAGTTTGAAAATTTCTACTGGAACGGAGGAGATGATGAACTTGTTGCTTACACTGACAGTGATTATGCTGAAGATTTGGATGACATAAAGAGTACTTTAGGTTATGTGTTTTTATTGAGTTTAGGAGTAGTATCCTGGTCATCAAGAAAACAACCAGTAAGTCTATCTACCACAGAGGCAGAATTTATCGCTGCAGCTTCATGTGCATGCTAGGTAGTATGGTTGAAAAGGGTGTTGGGAAAGTTGGATCAGAATCGAGGCAAGTCAACTACTACTCGCTGTCATAATAGCTCTGTAATCAAACTTTCAAAGAATTCAGTAATGCATGGTCGTAGCAAGCACATCGATGTACGTTTCCATTTCCTTAGAGAGCTCACAAAGTCTGGTACTATGGAGTTGGTGCATTGTGGCACACAAGAACAGTTGGTTGATGTGATGACTAGACCACTCAAACTGGATGTTTTCTTAAAGCTGCGATGGCTATGGGGAATTTGTTATGAGATGGATATAAGCTGAGTGCTTATAGCATTCAATTTAAGGGAGGAATTGTTAGGCTTTGTTGTTCTAGATGTTAGGTTGTTTTTAGGGATTTATTACCACTTAGTCACTAATTCTCTATTGTTAAGGGATGGTTGTTTGTTTGAATTAGTCATCCCACATTATCAGGATTTGTTAATCATGGGTTGTTATTTTTTGTTTCAGCTTGTTTTGTAAGACTATATAATAGCCAAATTTGTTCTTCAATAAAAGTAGAGATTTCTTCAAATTTTATTGTTAATCTAGAAGCGTTTTTGGTTTTTAACACAAACCTAATCGTCATTTTTAATTTCTTAACGTGAGAAATGAAAAAATAAAAAAAGTTGTTTTATAAACGAAACAATCTTTTTGCAGTTTTTTTCTTTAGTTGGAATTTTTCACTAACAATTATATGAGATACTCACATTAAGATTTAGCTACAAAAGAAAAAAAAATTCACGATTCTAAGATTGAGATTACGAACCATTAAGATCTCATGAGTTTTGAATTTACGTGAAACTTAAATTGACTTGTTGGTATCACTATCACATCGTAACATTGCAAGATTCTAAGAGCCCGATCGAATTTTTGATAATCATGACAGTGTAATATTCAATTGTACGTATCATTAGCTGAAATTACGAGGTTTGGACTAGTGTGTTTGTTGTTGAGTTGGGTGGCGTCCTTTTCGTTTTCGTCGTTTTAATCAAACCAGCCAACGCTCTCGGCGGTTATTTCCACACTTCACCCTCACCCCCTCTCTCGTTTTCTCCGCCCCCTTCTTCGTCTCCTTTGGTTCTCTTCCTTTTATTGATCTCGCATTCTCCCCTCACTTCTCTATTCCTCAACACTCCCACCCACATACATAGATACAGTTATCCCTCTAATCTATCAAACACCATTACTTACGACTACAATAATGGCTTCCGCTTTCTCTGCAGCCAAAATCATCCAGCCCTTACCCCTCAATACCACCGCCAACAGATCTCCTGAGAATCCTCTTTTCGATTCTCTCAAAACCACCACTTCCTCTTTCCTTGGATCCACACACAAGCTCCGCCTCAACAAACCCAATTCAGCTCGCTTAGACGCCCAACGTCGATCTGCCTCAGTGGTTGCCGTCTCTGATGTCGTCAAGGAGAAGAAGAACCTCAAATCCAACGCCTACCTTCCCAATCTGGTACGGTAAAAATCAACTCAATTCTCGAAACGAATCTGAACAATTTAGCGACGGTTGGTAACTTATGGGTTTGTTCATTTTTGTATTCCTTAAATATGTAATCCTGTTTGCGCGTTCGTGTGTTGGTGTCTGTTTGCAGCTAATTACTAAAGAAGAAGGCTTGGAGCTTTATGAGGACATGGTTCTGGGCAGAGGCTTCGAAGACATGTGTGCCCAGATGTATTACAGAGGCAAAATGTTTGGATTCGTCCATCTATACAATGGCCAAGAAGCCGTCTCAACTGGGTTCATCAAGCTCTTGAAGAAGGAAGATTGTGTGGTCAGCACATACCGCGATCACGTCCACGCTTTGAGCAAAGGGGTGCCTGCCCGTGCCGTGATGAGCGAGCTCTTCGGCAAGACCACTGGCTGTTGCCGAGGCCAAGGTGGCTCGATGCATATGTTCTCCAAAGAGCACAATCTTCTTGGCGGTTTTGCATTTATTGGCGAAGGAATTCCAGTGGCTACCGGGGCGGCATTCACTAGCAAGTACAGGAGGGAGGTCTTGCAAGAGGCTGATTGTGATCATGTTACTTTGGCGTTTTTCGGAGATGGGACTTGTAACAATGGGCAGTTCTTTGAGTGCTTGAACATGGCTGCATTGTGGAAATTACCAATTATCTTTGTCGTGGAGAACAATTTGTGGGCTATTGGGATGTCCCATTTGAGGGCCACGTCCGACCCAGAAATTTGGAAGAAGGGCCCGGCATTTGGGATGCCAGGGGTTCATGTGGATGGGATGGATGTCTTGAAGGTGAGGGAGGTGGCAAAGGAGGCTATTTCAAGGGCTAGGAGAGGGGAAGGCCCAACTTTGGTTGAATGTGAGACTTACAGGTTTAGGGGACACTCTTTGGCAGATCCCGATGAGCTTCGTGACCCTGGTAAGCTTGTTATAGACTCGTTATATACTCTGATGGTGTATTTCAACGTGATGCAATTTTGTGATGACGAGTAAATGAAAGAAATAATATTAGAATTATTGAGATCTGAGCTACTAAACTCGAGGGAATGATACTGAGAATTGCTGGGGAGTTGGAGAATTAACACAGTAGAAATATAGTGGCTTGCCAGCTTGGGAGCTCGGCTAATCTACTCTTCAATGAAGATTCTTGCTCCATCCTTCACTATTTACTATACAAAAAGATTTACAGAATGTAAGATGTGATACTAGGATTCTGCCCCTCTGTTAGGGGCGTTACATAGTATTTATAGGNAGAAATGATACTGAGAATTGTTGGGGAGTTGGGGAATTAACACAGTAGAAATATAGTGGCTTGCCAGCTCGGGAGCTCGGCTAATCTACTCTTCAATGAAGATTCTTGCTCCATCCTTCACTATTTACTATACAAAAAGATTTACAGAATGTAAGATGTGATACTAGGATTCTGCCCCTCTGTTAGGGGCGTTACATAGTATTTATAGGGCTTCTTCTAATTCTGCGGGATCCGCCCCGAGATCATCATTTATCCGAGGAATCCTCCTTGATCTTAGGAGGAGATCTTTTCTGGATGAGAGTTTTATGCTTCGATTATGACTCTTTGCTGCCTCTAGGATTTCTATTGACAAATAACTATCTCTTTATTACTTCCGCTATTGCTTCGATTANCTCTGTTGGGGGCGTTACATAGTATTTATAGGGCTTCTTCTAATTCTGCGGGATCCGCCCCGAGATCATCATTTATCCGAGGAATCCTCCTTGATCTTAGGAGGAGATCTTTTCTGGATGAGAGTTTTATGCTTCGATTATGACTCTTTGCTGCCTCTAGGATTTCTATTGACAAATAACTATCTCTTTATTACTTCCGCTATTGCTTCGATTAGGCTGGGCTTTATTGTGGTTTTATGAGCTCTGTGCGTCTGACCTCCGCTCCCGAGCTCATACTTGGAAATTGCTCTAAATATCATTAGTTGCCCCCCAGNAATTCTGGTTTTATGAGCTCTGTGCGTCTGAGCTCCGCTCCCGAGCTCATACTTGGAAATTGCTCTAAATATCATTAGTTGCCCCCCAGCTCTTGGTCAAGCTGGCCTGGGCAAGGACTGAGCTTAAGATGTAGCAGAATGGTTTCCCAATCAACGACTTCGAAGTTTGCACGAGAATTTTTTTTTTTGCATTTAGGTGCTCCTGACCAGAACCTGCTTGAATTGATGAGGGTGGAACAAATGACCCAAGCTGAGCCCATGTCTTTNGCACGAGAATTTTTTTTTTTGCATGTAGGTGCTCCTGACCAGAACCTGCTTGAATTGATGAGGGTGGAACAAATGACCTAAGCTGAGCCCATGTCTTTTCCTGATCTCATGACGCCATATACTCTGTTCTTGTTTAGCGCCGCTGCAGCTGAACGAGACTTTCCCTTTTTTCCTGAATCTGNGCCAGATACTCTGTTCTTGTTTAGCGCCGCTGCAGCTGAACGGGACTTTCCCTTTTTTCCTGAATCTGATCTATCTTCTACTGGGTCTGATGAGAGCGAGGATGCTGGGACTCATATCAAGAAACGCAAGAAAGATGGTTCATCATTTCCTTCATNATCTTCTACTGGGTCTGATGAGAGCAAGGATGCTGGGACTCATATCAAGAAACGCAAGAAAGATGGTTCATCATTTCCTTCATCCAGATCTTTCCTGGGGAAAGTTTTGTTTTTCTCTACTGAGCAAAAATTGATGGATCTACTATCAGCGACTGAGAAAGAGAGGGATGAGCTGAAGGAGGAGAACTTGCGTTTGAAAGAGAGGATAGCCGAACTGCAGAGAAGACTAGGAATTTTGCTTTGATTGGTTTTTTTGTAATATTTGATGTTCTTGAAACTTTGATTTTCCCTTTCCATGTTTGCCGCTTCTTATACACAATTTGTGGCTTTGAGAATCTGGCAGCTGATCTTCCATGTCGTTTCCTAGCTTGTGGACCAAAGACCCCCATTTTTCCTTTTTGTAATGGATAGAAGCTGTGAAGCTTTCCTTCTAGTCTACGTGCTGCAGATCTCGGGAAGCGCATTTTGAGTTGTTGTGTTTGCTTTAGGGACAGAAAAACTCGTCCTGAGCTATTTTTATGGACCGATAAGTTCAACGTGAGCTCCAGGGCTCTTTTATGAATTAACGAGTTTATCGTGAGCNATCTTGCTTTTAGTTCTTCTAGACCGGGAAGCGCATTTTGAGTTGCTGTGTTTGCTTTAGGGACAGAAAAACTCGTCCTGAGCTATTTTTATGGACTGATAAGTTCAACGTGAGCTCCAGGGCTCTTTTATGAATTAACGAGTTTATCGTGAGCTCTAAGGCTCTTATTACGGACTAATGAGTTCGTTGTGAGCTCCCGGGCTCTTTTTATGAATTAACGAGTTCATCGTGAGCTGCAGGACTCTTTTTATGACCTAACGAGTTCATCGTGAGCTCTAAGGCTCTTTTTATAAACTAACGAATTCGTCGTGAGCTCTAGGGCTCTTTTTATGAATTAACGAGTTTATCGTGAGCTGCAGGACTCTTTTTATGACCTAACGAGTTCATCGTGAGCTCTAAGGCTCTTATTACGGACTAATGAGTTCGTCGTGAGCTCCAGGGCTCTTTTTATGAACTAACGAGTTCGTCGTGAGCTCTAGGGCTCTTTTTAGGAACTAACGAGTTTATCATGAGCTCTAAGGCTCTTATTACGGACTAACGAGTTCGTCGTGAGCTCCAGGGCTTTTTTTATGACCTAACGAGTTCATCATGAGCTCTAAGGCTCTTATTACGGACTAATGAGTTCGTCGTGAGCTCCCGGACTCTTTTTACGAACTAACGAGTTCGTCGTGAGCTCCAAGGCACTTTTTATGAACTAACGAGTTCATCGTGAGCTCTAAGGCTCTTTTTATGAACTAACGAGTTTGTTGTGAGCTCTAAGGCTCTTTTTTTGAACTAACGAGTTCGTCGTGAGCTTCAGGGCTCTTTTTATGAACTAACGAGTTTGTCATGAGCTCCAAGGCTCTTTTTATGAACTAACGAGTTCATCGTGAGCTCTAAGGCTCTTTTTATGAGCTAACAAGTTCGTCGTGAGTTCCAGGGCTCTTTTTATGACCTAACAAGTTCATCGTGAGCTCTAAGGCTCTTATTACGGACTAATGAGTTCGTCGTGAGCTCCCGGACTTTTTTTATGAACTAACGAGTTCATCGTGAGCTCTAGGGCTCTTTTTATGACCTAACGAGTTCATCGTGAGCTCTAAAGCTCTTTTTATGAGCTAACAAGTTCGTCGTGAGTTCCAGGGCTCTTTTTATGACCTAACAAGTTCATCGTGAGCTCTAAGGCACTTATTACGGACTAATGAGTTCGTCGTGAGCTCCCGGACTTTTTTTATGAACTAACGAGTTCATCGTGAGCTCCAGGGCTCTTTTTATGGCCTAACGAGTTTATCGTGAGCTCTAAAGCTCTTATTACGGACTAATGAGTTCATCGTGAGCTCCAGGGCTCTTTTTATGACCTAACGAGTTCATCGTGAGCTCTAAAGCTCTTATTACGGACTAATAAGGGCTCTTTTTATGAACTAATAAGTTCATCATGAGCTCCAAGGTTCTTTTTATGAACTAACGAGTTCGTCGTGAGCTCCAGGGCTCTTTTTATGACCTAACGAGTTCATCGTGAGCTCTAAAGCTCTTATTACGGACTAATGAGTTCGTCGTGAGCTCCAGGGCCCTTTTTATGAACTAACGAGTTCATCGTGAGCTCTAGGGCTCTTTTTATGAACTAATAAGTTCATCGTGAGCTCCAGGGCTCTTTTTATGAACTAACAAGTTCGTCGTGAGCTCCAGGGCTCTTTTTATGAACTAACGAATTCATCGTGAGTTTTAGGGCTTTTTTTATGAACTAATGAGTTCCTCGTGAGCTCTAGGACTCTGTTTATGAACTAACGAGTTCGTCATGAGCTCCAAGACTCTTTTTATGAACTAACGAGTTCGTCGTGAGCTCCAGGGCTCTTTTTATGACCTAACGAGTTCATCATGAGCTCTAAGGCTCTTATTACGGACTAATGAGTTCGTCGTGAGCTCCAGGGCTCTTTTTATGAACTAACGAGTTCATCGTGAGTTTTAGGGCTTTTTTTATGAACTAATGAGTTCCTCGTGAGCTCTAGGACTCTTTTTATGAGCTAACGAGTTCGTTATGAGCTCCAAGACTCTTTTTATGAACTAATGAGTTCGTCGTGAGCTCCAGGGCTCTTTTTATGACCTAACGAGTTCATCGTGAGCTCTAAGGCTCTTATTATGGACTAATGAGTTCGTCGTGAGCTCCCGGGCTCTTCGTAAGAGTGAATGAACCACAGACTTGATGCTTTATTAATAATCATATTACAGGACAAACTTACTGAAAAAATTTTCTAAGATGTTCTGCATTCCAGGAGTGGGGTAAAATTTTCGCTGAGTCTGCTTTCATCTGGGGTGGCCGCCTCAGGAATTTTTCGTTTTGTACCTCATACGAGATTTGCGATATTGTTGCGGTGAGTGGAGGGACCTGCCGAGGTGCGTACCTCGACTNCGAGCTCCCGGGCTCTTCGTAAGAGTGAATGAACCACAGACTTGATGCTTTATTAATAATCATATTACATGACAAACTTACTGAAAAAATTTTCTAAGATGTTCTGCATTCCAGGAGTGGGGTAAAATTTTCGCCGAGTCTGCTTTCATCTGGGGTGGCCGCCTCAGGAATTTTTTGTTTTGTACCTCATACAAGATTTGCGATATTGTTGCGGTGAGTGGAGGGACCTGCCGAGGTGCGTACCTCGACTGTAACTCTGGATGAGGTAGTCCCTAGCGATCTCTGACGTCTCCCCTTCTTTTGGGGGATCAATCTCTGTCTCTCCTTGGGGACCTATCTCGTCCTTTTTCTCTTCTGGGACTTCGGTCCCTCTTTTTCTCTTCTTTTCCTTTGTCTTTTTGCATGGATGAGCTCTCCACTTTTGAGAGGAGAGTTTCTTCGCTGTTTATGTACTTTTCTGCCTTGGCCAGTACTTCGGCCATGTTGGCCTGGGGATTTTTCGAAATAGAGAACATCAGGTTTTTAGATTGTACGCCTAAACCAGCTATGAATGCAGTAATGACAAATTTTTCGTCTGGGACATCCACTTTTAGTGATTCAGAGTTGAACCTCTGAACATAGGATCTGAGGTTCTCTTGGGGTCCCTGCTTCACATTTAACAGGTGGTAACTCGGCTTTCTATACGTTCGAGCTCCAATGAAGTAAGATACAAAGGATATGGATAGCTCCTTAAAGAAGGAAATTGAGGTAGGGGGGAGCCTATTGAACTATGCCAGGGCTGAGCCTTTCAGCGTGATGGCAAAGGCTCTGCAGAGCACTGGATCCTGATATCCATGTAATTCCATCTGGTTCTTGTAAGTGTTAAGGTGATCTACGGGATCCTTTGTTCCATCAAAAGCCTCTATATGCGATACTCTGAATTTCAGAGGGAGGGAAAAATGCAGCACGCCAGTGGTGAGCGGAGATTCAGTCTGTTGTACCAAAGCATCCATCGTAACTGGGGCCTTGCCTCTTACGGCTTCCTTCATGTGTCTGAGTTCTTGTTGGATACCCTGGAAGCACTACTCCCGATACCGTTCTCTCCTTTCCTATTAATAGGGAAAAAAATCGTTCCTCTCGCCCCCGTCATTCTGACTTTATACTTCTTCGTTGTGTCTATTCCTGGGGGGTATGCGAGGTTCTTGGCCCCATGGTTTNAGCCTTGCCTCTTACGGCTTCCTTCATGTGTCTGAGTTCTTGTTGGATACCCTGGAAGCGCTACTCCCGATACCGTTCTCTCCTTTCCTATTAATAGGGAAAAAAATCGTTCCTCTCGCCCCCGTCATTCTGACTTTATACTTCTTCGTTGTGTCTATTCCTGGGGGGTATGCGAGGTTCTTGGCCCCATGGTTTGACAGTTTTCCCCTTCTTTGTTGACTTCCCTAGGTGGTGGGTTGTTCTGGCCTTCTTGAGCCTGTGGCATCTCCTGTGGGCGTTAAAGAGCTTTAAGAGTTCTTCATTTTGTTTCAGTAAGCGTTGATTGACGAGGCGAAGGGCTTTCATCTCGTTATTCATGGGGAGACCCCCCACGGGTGGATTGGTCTCTTGGACATTCNACATGGTTTGACAGTTTTCCCCTTCTTTGTTGACTTCCCTAGGTGGTGGGTTGTTCTGGCCTTCTTGAGCCTGTGGCGTCTCCTGTGGGCGTTATAAGAGCTTTAAGAGTTCTTCATTTTGTTTCAGCAAGCGTTGATTGACGAGGTGAAGGGCTTTCATCTCGTTATTCATGGGGAGACCCCCCACGGGTGGATTGGTCTCTTGGACGTTCTCAGGTTGTCTGCTATTAGTAGCTTCTTGTTGATCTTGCATCCGTGGTGGATTTGTCTGACTTCGGCTCATGTTTTGCGTTGATACCATCAGTCACTGAAAGATCAGTTTATTTATAACAGGAACAGTCATTTCCTACAGACGGCGCCAAACTGATGGTGTATTTCAACATGATGCAATTTTGTGATGACGAGTAAATAAAAGAAATAATATTAGAATTATTGGGATCTGAGCTACTAGACTCGAGGGAATGATACTAAGAATTGTTGGAGAGTTAGGGAATTAACACAGTAGAAATATAGTGGTTCGCCAACTCGGGAGCTCGGTTAATCCACTCTTCAATGGAGATTCTTGCTCCATCCTTCATTATTTACTATACCAAAAGGTTTACAGAATGTAAGATGTGATACTAGAGTTTTGCCCCTCTGTTGGGGGCGTTACATAGTATTTATAGGGCTTTTCTTAATTCTGCGAAATCTGCCCCAAGATCTTCGCCATTTATCCGAGGAATCCTCCTTGATCTTAGGAGGAGATCTTTCCTGGATAAGAGTTTTATGCTTCGATTATGACTCTTTGCTATCTCTAGGGTTTCTGTTGACAAATAACTATCTCTTTATTACTTCCGCTGCTTCTTCGATTGGGTTGGGCTTTATTCTGGTTTTATGAGCTCTGTGCGTCTCATACTTGGGAATTGCTCTAAGTATCATCATACTCTATTGCATATCTTTGTATGGNTTTCTTCGATTGGGTTGGGCTTTATTCTGGTTTTATGAGCTCTGTGCGTCTGACCTCCGCTCCCGAGCTCATACTTGGGAATTGCTCTAAGTATCATCATACTCTATTGCATATCTTTGTATGGTACCTTCCTTCTAAGTTGATAAATGGGTTCCATGAAGTACCGACATAATATAACACTACCGAATTTTTCGACACGAAATTAGCAAGGTTGAGTTCAACCTTATCGGGTTCGGGTGTCCATTACACTGGTCGTGTTCAGGTGGAGTATATCAACTGCTTTATCACCGGTTTAAATTTTAAATAGGCATACATAGGANGTTCGACACGAAATTAGCGAGGTTGAGTTCAACCTTATCGGGTTCGGGTGTCCATTACACTGGTCGTGTTTAGGTGGAGTATATCAACTGCTTTATCACCGGTTTAAATTTTAAATAGGCATACATAGNTTTCGACACGAAATTAGCAAGGTTGAGTTCAACCTTATCGGGTTCGGGTGTCCATTACACTGGTCGTGTTCAGGTGGAGTATATCAACTGCTTTATCACCGGTTTAAATTTTAAATAGGCATACATAGGAACTGGGCTTAGAACCTGTTCAATTTTAATTTTAGAAGCCTATATTCCATTCGCAGCTCAACCCACCAGCAGTTCTGCACCCTGGGTGGAATTTGGTTTTTGATGGAACATGGTGGATGTTGAATTTGGAATTGCATGTTTGATTTGTTTTGGTATTTGCTTCGTAATAAGATAGTGGTGGAATTTGGTTTTTGATGAAGATATCGGATATTGAATTTGGAGTATGTTTTCTGGTTTGTTTTGGTTTATTGCTTTGTAGTATTTTAGTGGTGTAATTTGGTTTTTGCTATTGGATGTTTGAATTGGGTTTTTTTTAATGATAAACGGGTCAAATGTGTCAATGGGTCTGTAATTGCAAAGGGTGGAAGGGTAATCGTGTGAACCAAAAATTGACCCGACCCATTTATTTGGCATGTTAACCGAGTTGTGGATCTTTCTTTTTTTTTTTTCTTCTTTTTCTTGCAATTTTCACCTGTTTAATTAAACGGTTCACATACGGATTGAGCGATCTTTTACACGAACTCACTTAATCCAACACGATTGCCATCCTAGTTCCATGTTGTTACTGCTTACATTTTTGTTTATAGTTAAGGTTTTCCATTGCCCTTTTCTCCATATATGGTCTAACTCATCAACGCGATTGAAGTCTGACACTTGCAATCTGAGACAATTCAAAAGATCTACCACTATCATTGCTTTAGAAAATTCACTATAGTTTGCATTTCTTTATTGATTTAATCACTACTTCAATGGTTAGTAACTTAGTTTTGAAATTTAGCCAAATGGATTGGATTATGTTGTGTACTTCTGTCTGGAGGATAGCAGTTTTATAGGAACACTAGCTTAGCATTGTTGAGTGCAAGTGTTCATATTCAAATTAACAAAACATTTTTTGTTCGCTCCCTTGAGAATGAATAGAAACTTTTATTGGAGGTCAATAATAAGTTAGTGATCAAGGGCTCAGAAATGGATTGACTTATGTAGGGATTGACATATTTATACAAGTAAAAACTGATTGAATGTTGTAATAATCCAGACAATTCACTTCACCATCTTTGTTGGGACCATTCTCTTTACATTGCTCTGTTTCCAAAAAAGAAAAAAGAATTAAAGGAGCACCATAATTGTTTCAACTGCCAGCATTGTCGTGAATGGCTGATACCAGGAGACTTGAGACACCAGATTGGTATATTGAGGGTGTGATAGTGTTGTAGCCTGTCAATGCGTTGTACTGCCCTCTAAATTTCTTGATATCATCTTCAGTTCTAGGTTATAAGGTCTTGTATCAAGGGGTATTGCATGTCTAATTTCAAGATTTGCGTGCTTATGGGATCAATCACTAGAAATATGTCGTTAGATCACCAATAAGATGGGCGAGGTAACTAATTTTATTGGATTGTATATACCCTTTCCTTAATATTGTGTATATATGTCTTTATGCTAATTGTTATGTTCGGAGGTAGTAAATTTTCTACCTTAATGTGTATACATTTTGGCAGCTGAGAAGGCTCACTATGCTACTCGAGATCCCATCACAGCATTGAAGAAATACATGATTGAAAACAATCTGGCCAGTGAAGCAGAGTTAAGGGCCATAGAGAAGAAGATAGATGAGTTAGTTGAGGATGCTGTGGAGTTTGCAGATGAGAGCCCTGCTCCATCTCGTAACCAGCTACTGGAGAATGTCTTTGCAGATCCAAGAGGTTTTGGAATTGGACCTGATGGGAGTTACAGATGTGAGGATCCCAAGTTCACTGAAGGCACTGCCCATGTCTAACTTCTGAAGGCTGATTGTCTATTGACACTCAAGCTGGTTTCCAGTAGTTAATGGATGCACGGTTACATTTAGACTTGCTGATTCCTGATGGCAAGCACTAGTTTTACTTTCTGATGTATCCATGTTGCCTCTGCCAGCAAGATTTGTTGCCTAGGTGTGTTTTTATTCAAATTTTGGTCTTATTTGTCTTTTTGATTTAGTACGGTAACTTTGTTGGTCGGACTATCACTCTGAAATGTCAAACTCCTAACCTGTGTAATGGGGATGGCTTGTTACTATCCAGTGTTCATTTAAAATTGGCTTTTTTGGTTTTCCTACAATTTACAGCTTTTCTTAAAAGTATACTACATGGAGTTTCTATGGTTGGGTTGTGCCAGAAAACACCGACTCAATCCCATAACCGGTGAAGTGATTTGTTTTTTGGCATGAAGGGAGATGAAATTATAACCATAATACATTTACAGATGCCATTGCCTTAAAACAGGTGAACAAGGATTACTTCTCTTCCTCATTCCCTCTCAGCTTTTCATAGGTGCATAAGTATCTTGCATGCACTTGTAGTTCAACCAGAATCAACTCCTTCCGCTTGCTAAAAGTTTAGAGACCTGTATCCTCACTTCAGCCCCTCTAGATATTCTTATATTTAGATTTAATTTGGAAACTTAATTTAATATATCCGTTGAATTAAAAGTGAATTTTAATCGAACATTTCATCCAACATTAAAATTCATAACTGATCTAATAGTTGCATTGAATTAGGTCCTCATATCATTGCTCTTTACTTAATGTTGATCCATAAAATAAAAGATAAAATAAATATTTATTGAAATTGATGAGCCCGAATTTGACTGGGTCAAGCCCAATCCAAATAAACCGAGAAAGCCCGAAGAAAAGTCCAACTGGACACGGAGTCATGATGCCGTAAATCAACACGGAGTCATGAGTCCGTAAATCAACAAGGAGTCATGAGGGCCACTCGTAAATTAACACGAAGTCAAGTGGAGCCAAAGCACCAAAGGCCAACGCCTAAGGGGGCGCCGCCCATGGCCAGGTCCTCCTAGTTCTTCCTCATTTGTCCTTCTGACTCCAATGCAAGCCCAAGTCTACTCCGATTCAAGTTCAATGACAAGGTCAAGCCCAGTCCAGCTCAGGATCCTCCTCCCAATGGGATAGGAGCACGAGGAAAGAATATCGAGATACGCTCGGAGATCTAATCCTACCATAACTGTACTTATCAAAATAGTAGAAGTTTTCTCCCTTACGTCACCGCCTCACCGTCTTAACTAAGCCTATATAATGTAAGCTCTCTCCACATTGAGGGCATGATCACCTTATGACCTTGAGGCCTTCATCACCTTGAGATCCCTACACATATTACACCTTGCTACACACATTGCTCTCTCTTTCTCTCTATCCCTCTCCTTCTAAGCACTGTAATTCACCTAGAGAATACTTTCTCCGACGACTTCGTTCATTAATAAAAGACTCAGGTCACCGCTGCCGTTCCCAAGAGTGGAGTAGGTCACCGGACCGAACCACTATAAATCTCTGTGTTATTTCTTTTATTTACTGTTTTGCCATCGATTGCTTTATTTACTGTTCGTTGATTGCCCATCGTGAACATTCTTGACTGTTGATCTTGCGCAACACCAATTTGTGCATCATTAGTTTAGCGCCGTCTGTGGGAACCGACTAGTTTTCCTACTCTCTTTTCAATCTATGACAATCACTACCCGATCAATGAGCCAACAGTCGGGAGACAATAACTCAATCCACCGGGAGGACATTCTACCTCCCCTCGCACCGTCTGAACCATCTACTACTGTGACTCCTGCTGGGCAACAACAATAGCTCCTCCAAACCATGCAGCTGCTGCTGAGCCAAAATTAGCAAATTATCCAACTCATGCTCACCTAAGGAGGTGTCACCCCTCACCCCGTGGGAGGAGCTCCACTCCCCCCAATAAGAGAGGAGCAATGACCTGTCTTTTTTGGGTGCCAAGCAGCCCCCCACCATTGGCCCCTCGCCAAAAACACTCCAGGGCTGCGTCAAGGCGTCCCTTGCCCAACAGTTCCTCCTCAGCACGTAGGGAGTTCACGATTTCTCCCTCCTCATGAACCAGTGCAGGAGAACAAAGACAGAGAAAGCCAATACGGAAACCATGAAAGTCAGTACTATCACCTAACTGAGGATGTCCCCAATTACTGGGATGAAAAGATTAGGGAGGTGTGAAACCAACTGGGAGATGCCCTCAACGCCATCAAGGCACGAGCGCCTAAAACTTTGGACTACTTGGTAAGACGCACTGATACGCCTTTTATTGCTGATATTACCAATTATCCTCTACCTTCGAAATTCAAGATGCCCACCATCGAGATTTTCGATGGCATTAAAGACCCCCTCGACCATCTGGACACATATAAGTCCCTCATGTAACTCCACAACGTGCTTGAGGAAATTATGTGCAGAGCTTTTCCTACCACCTTGAAGGGGTCTTCTCGCCAGTGGTTCTCCAAGCTCAAACCCTCCTCCATCCGCTCTTGCACAGAGTTGAGTAAGTCCTTCGTCTCCCACTTCATTGGGGGACGCCGACATAAAAAACCAGTGACCCACCTGCTCATAATCAAACAAGACAGGGATGAAANTGCCAACCGAACCAAAGTGGTTAGATGTTCACGTTCCAAGGATTACTTCTCTTCCTCATTCCCTCTCAGCTTTTCATAGGTGCATAAGTATCTNAATTGAGGAGCTAGATGATAAGATAGCCTTGACTGCCTTTATCACTGGTCTTTGCACCTCTAGTTTTATGTTCTCCGTACTTAAGCTGCTGTCTAGGGCACAGAAATATATAAATGCCAAGGATGTCATCAAGGTCAGATGAGGTGAGTCCTTCCATGGGGGCGAGAAAAGGAAGAATGCCCGCGAAGACAAGTGAGAGGCGGAGAACAANCTTGCATGCACTTGTAGTTCAACCAGAATCAACTCCTTCCGCTTGCTAAAAGTTTAGAGACCTGTATCCTCACTTCAGCCCCTCTAGATATTCTTATATTTAGATTTAATTTGGAAACTTAATTTAATATATCCGTTGAATTAAAAGTGAATTTTAATCGAACATTTCATCCAACATTAAAATTCATAACTGATCTAATAGTTGCATTGAATTAGGTCCTCATATCATTGCTCTTTACTTAATGTTGATCCATAAAATAAAAGATAAAATAAATATTTATTGAAATTGATGAGCCCGAATTTGACTGGGTCAAGCCCAATCCAAATAAACCGAGAAAGCCCGAAAAAAAGTCCAACTGGACACGGAGTCATGATGCCGTAAATCAACACGGAGTCATGAGTCCGTAAATCAACAAGGAGTCATGAGGGCCACTCGTAAATTAACACGAAGTCAAGTGGAGCCAAAGCACCAAAGGCCAACGCCCAAGGGGGCGCCGCCCATGGCCAGGTCCTCCTAGTTCTTCCTCATTTGTCCTTCTGACTCCAATGCAAGCCCAAGTCTACTCCGATTCAAGTTCAATGACAAGGCCAAGCCCAGTCCAGCTCAGGATCCTCCTCCCGATGGGATAGGAGCACGAGGAAAGAATATCGAGATACGCTCGGAGATCTAATCCTACCATAACTGTACTTATCAAAATAGTAGAAGTTTTCTCCCTTACGTCACCGCCTCACCGTCTTAACTAAGCCTATATAATGTAAGCTCTCTCCACATTGAGGGCATGATCACCTTATGACCTTGAGGCCTTCATCACCTTGAGATCCCTACACATATTACACCTTGCTACACACATTGCTCTCTCTTTCTCTCTATCTCTCTCCTTCTAAGCACTGTAATTCACCTAGAGAATACTTTCTCCGACGACTTCGTTCATTAATAAAAGACTCAGGTCACCGCTGCCGTTCCCAAGAGTGGAGTAGGTCACCGGATCGAACCACTATAAATCTCTGTGTTATTTCTTTTATTTACTGTTTTGCCATCGATTGCTTTATTTACTGTTCGTTGATTGCCCATCGTGAACATTCTTGACTGTTGATCTTGCGCAACACCAATTTGTGCATCATTAGTTTAGCGCCGTCTGTGGGAACCGACTAGTTTTCCTACTCTCTTTTCAATCTATGACAATCACTACCCGATCAATGAGCCAACAGTCGGGAGACAATAACTCAATCCACCGGGAGGACATTCTACCTCCCCTCGCACCGTCTGAACCATCTACTACTGTGACTCCTGCTGGGCAACAACAATAGCTCCTCCAAACCATGCAGCTGCTGCTGAGCCAAAATTAGCAAATTATCCAACTCATGCTCACCTAAGGAGGTGTCACCCCTCACCCCGTGGGAGGAGCTCCACTCCCCCCAATAAGAGAGGAGCAATGACCTGTCTTTTTTGGGTGCCAAGCAGCCCCCCACCATTGGCCCCTCGCCAAAAACACTCCAGGGCTGCGTCAAGGCGTCCCTTGCCCAACAGTTCCTCCTCAGCACGTAGGGAGTTCACAATTTCTCCCTCCTCATGAACCAGTGCAGGAGAACAAAGACAGAGAAAGCCAATACGGAAACCATGAAAGTCAGTACTATCACCTGACTGAGGATGTCCCCAATTACTGGGATGAAAAGATTAGGGAGGTGTGAAACCAACTGGGAGATGCCCTCAACGCCATCAAGGCACGAGCGCCTAAAACTTTGGACTACTTGGTAAGACGCACTGATACGCCTTTTATTGCTGATATTACCAATTATCCTCTACCTTCGAAATTCAAGATGCCCACCATCGAGATTTTCGATGGCATTAAAGACCCCCTCGACCATCTGGACACATATAAGTCCCTCATGTAACTCCACAACGTGCTTGAGGAAATTATGTGCAGAGCTTTTCCTACCACCTTGAAGGGGTCTTCTCGCCAGTGGTTCTCCAAGCTCAAACCCTCCTCCATCCGCTCTTTCACAGAGTTGAGTAAGTCCTTCGTCTCCCACTTCATTGGGGGACGCCGACATAAAAAACCAGTGACCCACCTGCTCATAATCAAACAAGACAGGGATGAAAGCCTCATAGACTACCTTGCCCGTTTCAATGAGGAGGTGCTCCAAATTGAGGAGCTAGATGATAAGATAGCCTTGACTGCCTTTATCACTGGTCTTCGCACCTCTAGTTTTATGTTCTCCGTACTTAAGCTGCTGTCTAGGGCACAGAAATATATAAATGCCAAGGATGTCATCAAGGTCAGATGAGGTGAGTCCTTCCATGGGGGCGAGAAAAGGAAGAATGCCCGCGAAGACAAGTGAGAGGCGGAGAACAAGA